GAGAGAGAGAGAGAGAGAGAGAGAGAGAAGGGGGGTGGATGAAGAAGAAGAATCAAAGACAGAATGCCCACTACATTATAACACATTTGTATATTCCTCAGATTTCACAAAAGAGCTACCTACGACGTTTTTTGTTGCACGTCAAGCGGTGATTCCAGCCTGGATTTTTACAGAATTAACTTTTCTGATTTCAACTCGAAGCTATTCACCATTTGTGTGACAAATTGTTCAAGGTCACAAAGGTGTATGTATCTCTGGGAATACTCCAATTTCAAATCGACGCGTATAGATCAGTGACCACCTCCCGGACGACGATAAAACTTCGCAATTCATGACTGGAAGTACTGGCAAAGAAACTGAAACAGTTAAAGATCAAACAATAGAAAACATGAGGAGGAATTGTGTTTCAAGGGCGTTGTCTTTAGACCAATGTGGTCCGAGAGAGACAGACTAATCTGCTCCTAGACTTCAAAATTCTTTTTGTTTTCGGCAAGAAGCAGAGTGTTATCAAGGCTATGTATTATAACTCAAGCCAGTATAAACCATAATTCATTCAGACTTGCGTAACAAATCTATGTGAATACAGAAAATACCATCGCTAGACCTAGAGAGATCTGAATCAGAATCATCGATGAAATAAAAAAAAGAATCACGTTTAGAAGAGTTGCAAGAAAACAAATGCCAATAGATAATGTGTTTTGGAAGTACTCGCTTCATAAAGGAAGTTGGAACGTTCTTGTGGTGACATACAACTAGAACAGAATTGTTGGTATTGTTCTGAAAAGGCGTAAAAACTGAAAAGTTTAAAAAAGTCAAAATGAAACTTGTTCTGCCATATTGATGTAGTCGGCTCTACCAGCTCTCAAGCAGTTTCTGTGATATATCTTTTTGAAAAAAACCATAAGAATTTTAACTTCTCTCTAGGAATTACAATTTAGATTTTGTTGATCAAAAGTAGCCTATTTTCCCGGCTTGGGGGAAAAGGCAACGAAATAAATCATAAGCTACTTCGGTCGGGACCATGCAGTCCAAACTGATAAGAAATTAAAAACTCCAGTCCCTAGCTGTCAATGACAATGTCACTGTGATCCACTAACGGACAAAGCTACAAACCCACGAAAAGAAAAGTGTCTCTCAAAAACGTCTCGGCTGCAGAGATAGTACCCGAGAAAGAAATAAGGCAAAAGAAAAGCAACTGGGTTCCCGACTGTTCGATATTTTGGTAGTATTGGAACTTATCACGGCCATTGAATGTCGAAATCCAGCTCAAAGAACAAGGTGAAAGGCGCCTCGAGTTCCAGTACTAAGGAAGACTCGAACCTGAGTAACCACAAATCAGTCAATTCCAGCGGCACCACCGATGGCAGTGACCCAGGGGGCAAGGTCGTTGAGAATGGCGGCAGTGAGGAGGCGGGGGAGGGGGAGGATGCGGTCACGGACCAGGAGCGTCAGGAGAGGGAGAAGTTGATGAAAGTACTCAGCGGCAACATGGAGGATCTGCCGCCGCTCAGCTCCAAGATTGTCCGAATATTTACCAGCTCCACATTCACAGGTAAGAAGAAATGTCAA